ACGTGCACCGCGCGACGTGCCAGGGGGACTCGCCACGGGACGCTCCGCGGAACGTGCCAAGCAACATGCCAGGCTGCAATGCTAAGGGTATCGATATTGATGTACCGTGCCGAGGGCTGTGCTGTGCCTGGGCGACCTGGACACGTGAAAACACGCGTTTCGCTCAAGACGTTGTCAGCACATCCTCATGCTAGACATCCGCCTGGGCAACCTGGACACGTGCAAACAAGCGTCTCGCTCGAGACATCCTCAACAAATGCTCATGCTAGACATCCGCCTGGGCGACCTGGACACGTGAAAACAAGCCTCTGGTTCGAGACATCCTCAACAAATCCTCATGCTAGACATCTGTCTGGGCCACCTGGAGGCGTGAAACCAAGCGTCTCGCTCGAGACATCCTCAAGACCTGGGCACGTGAAAACAAGCAATCCACTTGAGAGATCCTCAGAATTCAGGTCCCCAGGAGAGGACAATCTATAACACAGAACAAGCGTTTCGCTCGAGACATCCTCAACAAATTCTGAAAAACAAGCGTTTCGCTCGAGAGATCCTCAATTTTTAATTCGCCGGCCCTACGCGACCTCGTTATTTATCGCAAAAGAAATTCGCCGGCCCTACAGCCGTCAAAACCGGGGGGAAACCAACTAAAAGAGAACCCTGGGCCTTTGCCCTTTCCGGGAAAAACACGTGCCCTACGCGCACGCGACACACGTATGTTCGAGACCAACCGTCGCACACTTCATCTAGTGCGAGAAAGATCCGACGCCCCCATTCTCGATACACACCGTGGCGCCTACACACGTCAAAACAAGCGCCACATGCGCACGCACCAGGCGCATGTTCGAGACCCCCCCTCCGTTACCCTGCCTTTGAAACAGATAGATAGGACGCCCTCTGCTCAACATCCCTTTAGTCGACGGCCAAAAAGCACGAGCCGAGACCTTTCCAGGAGAAGCACGCGCCAAATGTGCACGCACCATACGCATGTTCGATAACTGGTGTGGCACACGTACTTTGACGTGTGAAGAATCGAACGCGCCATTGCCCGCTACCCCCTTTGGCGCCTCCACATGTGGAAACATGCCTTAAATGTGCACACGCAAGCCGCATGGTCGAGACTCCCAATTCCGCACACCCGCGCCTCGCCCCTCTCATGGAACCCCTCCATAGAAAATTCGCACCCAAGAACGTCATCACTCGTACCTCGCTCTTTCCGTTAACTGGGCCGGCACGGAGACGGAAAGAGCGCTTCAGGAACTTACCCGAGATGGCTCGTGGCACCCGTCGCTCCTGGGAGCCTGCGCGGCCTGGGACAAAGTGTCAAAAACCCTAAGGGTTTTCCCATGTGTCCCTCGAGATGTTGTGCAACACAATGTTCTTTGATATTTTTCTGAAGGCGCCGTCCTGGGAGGCTCGTCTCGGCGGTGCGGCCGGAGCCCCACCGATGTGTACGCATTCAATGTTACACAGGTTTTGGAGCGATTTGCAGGGACACACGGGGATAACGCTGGGTTTTCCAAACAAGACCAAACTACAGGGTGCCTTGGTGTTAGAGCCTAATACTTCACTGCTCTCTGTTGGGACCCCTGGTGTTCAGAGCTTTTTACGTCACTGCGCTCTGGGGAGCCGTGATGTTCAGAGCTTGTTACGTCACCGCTCGCTGTTGGGAGCCATGGTGTTACTTGGCGTCTCCGGGGTTTCTTGGGGGTGAATGGGGGGCCCTTTGGGTGCCCTGTTGGGCCGTCTTGGGGTCCTTTTGGTTGGGCCGTCTTAAGCTATGAAAGACCAAAGAACAACTGACTCTAGGCCCCCGAGAGGCCTCGACGAGGCCCCAACGGACATCCAACAGACCTCAGACCCACAATCCAGGCGCGGTGGCGGGATGGGCCGAAGGCCATAAGATCCGCCACCCCCTGTCGATTCATCGCAGGGGTGCCTGGCGTGCTAAACTGTTTCGGTTTTGGTTTTGGTTCTTTTTCCAAAAGAACTCCCCCTGGGGCTTCGGCCCGTCGCGCCAGGGTCCCGGAAGGATTGCCCAGGACCGCAAACGACCTCAACGTCCGCAAGAAATTCTCCAAGACGGCTCAAGATGGCTCCAAGACGGCCAACATGGCCCAAGATGGCCTCCAAGATGGTCCAAGATGGCCTCCAAGTCCGCCCAAGAGAGGAGGAGATGCCTCCAAGTCCGCCCAAGAAACCTCCAAGACGACCCAAGACGGCCCACGAGGTGCCCAAGAGGCCTCCAAGACGGCCCAAGAGGCCTCCGAGAGGTCCTCCCGGAGGGCCCGAAGAGGCCAAAATCACCCAAACGGCTTCCGACAGCGTCAGATGGGCCAGGAGCCCACCAAGATGGCCGAAATTGGCTCGAAGCTGGCCCAAGACGGCCCAAGAGGCCTCCAAGAGGGAAGCCAGATAAGGCCAAAAACATTGATGTTCCTAAGGTTTTTGAAGGATTTTGACATTTGCTTCTTTTCGGCCATCCGAAGACCCGATACGGCCCAAGAGCCCCCCAAGATCGCCCAAAGATCGCCCAAGAGGCCTCCAAGATGGCCCCAGAACGGCCTAAGAGGCCCCCTAAGACGGCCCCAAGAGGCTCCCAAGACGGCCCAGGAGGCTTTTAAGACGCCCAAGATGGCCTCCAAGACGGCCCTGGAGCATTCCAAGAGGGCCCCAAGTCGGCCCAGAGGGGCCCCCCAAACGGCTTCCGACGGCGTCGGACGGGCTAGGAGCCCACCAAAACGGCCGAAGATGGCCCTAAGATGGCCCAAGACGGCCCAAGTACCGAAAAGGGCCTCCAGGAAGGGCCGAAAAGGCCAAAATCATTGATTTCCCATGAGTGTTTGAAGGATTGTGACATTTGCTTTTTGTTCGGCCTTCCGACGGCCCGAGACGGCCCAAGTGCCCCCAAAGATCGCCCAAGAGGCCCAAGACGGCCCCAAGAGGCCCCCAAGACGTCCCAAGGGGCCTCCAAGACGCTCAAGACGGCCTCCAAGATGGCCCAAGAGCCCTCCAAGACGTCCTCCGAGAAGGCCCAAAAGGGTCAAAATGGCCTCCAGACGGCCAAGATGACCTTCAAAATGCCCACGTGTTCCCCGAAGGCTTTGCAAACCGATTCGGGGAACACATGGTCCGATAGCTTGGCAGGTCTGGTTTCAACGTTCGGCCACATAGGCGCTTCCAAGAAGGCAAGGGGCGGCGGTGATTCGCCGTAGGCGTCTTCGATCTGCCGCCCCCTGTGGTTTGCCACTAGGGTGCACGGCGTACTGGATTTCTTGTGGCGCTTGGTTCTTTAAGAACTCCCAGCGGGGTCTCGGCCCACCCGGCTGGCCACCCGGAATCCCCAGAAAAACCTAACTCCATTGGCCCGATCGCCTCCATCACGGCCAAGATGGCCTCCAAGACCCCTCCAGTATGACAAAGATGACCGAAGTGGCCTCCAGGACGGGCCCAACATGCATCCAGGACGGCCCAAATGGGAGCAAGAGAGCCCAAGATGATCTTGGATGGACCCAAGAAGGCCCGAGATGACCTCGAGATTGCCCAAGAGGCCGCCAAGACCGAGGTTCGGCTGGACTAGCAAAACTTCACCTAGGGAGGAAGGAGAAACAGAGAGAGAGGGGGGGGGGGGAGGAGGAGGAGGAGGAGGAGGAGGAGGAGGAGGAGGAGGAGGAGAAGGAGGCGGAGGAGGAGGAGGAGGAAGAGCAGGTCGACGTCGGAAACAATCTCCTCAGGACCACCCTGGAATTCCTTGGGCTTGCATGGAGATTGGGCCTCCTGGCCATCATGGCTCACCCTGCCCCCGCTGAACATCGACCTGGGATCCCGAGCAGTTGGCCTCTTCCTAGCTTCCGTCGGACGGCTTCCCAAAAAGGTGTTGCGTTGCATTGCATTGATCAGTGAATGTTTGGCCAGTTAGCCAAGAAACCGACCTCGCTCTTGGCTGTGTGGGCGCCGGTGTTTGGTCAGATGGTGAGATAAGAGCCACATAGGCGAAGATGCCAAACATCGATCCCACGTCCAGGTTCTGGAAGGTAGGCATGCAGATGGTTCGTGGATTTTCGCTGGTGCAAAGTCGTACCCTTCTGAGTTGTCGTTTTCTTGCTAAAGGGATGGTCGCGGCTGCCCAACTGCAGTTCGCAAGTGACCCTGGGCCGCCCCCCTTGGTTTTGGATGAGGCTCGCCTCCCTTTCTGCGTGCCCTTGGACTCGTGTCATGATTTCCAGCGGGCCAGAAGCTATCATCAGGATTCCCTATTCCACTCTCCCGACGCGGTCTAGACGTGCGCTGCACCATAACTCTAACAGTACCCTCTGGCAAAGGATTGACTGCGCCTGTTTTTTGAGCATGCTCTCTGTGCGCGGCACGTTAACTCGCAGTACTCAGGTGAACGTAGACGTTTCGATTCCTGGGATCAGCAGCTTGAGAAATACCTTGAGCCGCCCCTGCGACGCCTCCTGAGTGCAGGTGTTGTTTGTGATCTCCCCGGGACTGGGGCTTTAACCGAATATGTGGAGGTTATGGGATTGAGCTCTGGTGAGGGGGGATCTTTGAAGGGGCCCCACGACACACAAATAAACACACACACACACAAATAAAAGGATTCCCCATATTTCCATAGTTTCTGGGGTTCTGTCTTCCCCCCCACTTCCCATATTTTCCCATATTTTCTGGGAATCGAGGATTAATTGTGTCTGTGTGTTTCTTTTCCTCCTGAATGAGGTGTGCACGCTGCCGCGATCGCTGCCTCTCCTGCCACTGTGCCGCCGCTCTCTCTCTCTCTCTCTCTCTCTCTCTTCCTGTCTGAACAGGTGACACATGTATTCTAAGCTTCATTGGCCGACCGACTGACAGAGGAAGAGGAGGAGCAAGAGGAGGAGGAGGAGGAGGAAGAGGAGGAGGAGACTACGGTAAGGAGTGCCCGCCCTTCTACTGCTGCCGCTGTTCCTCCCAAGCCTGCCCCTTCCCGTCGATGCCCTCCGTCAGCGAAGTATCGGATTCCTTCAAACGGTCTGGGATGCTCCCGCTGCGAGGCCACGCGGCTCCTCGCAGCCAGAGATGCCACGCTCCTCACCAGCGACCTCACGAGCAACGTGGTCGATGAGAACGGCGGCGAGCTCGTTCCAGACCTCTGGCTGCCGACGCTGCAGGCGCATGCTCCACCCCTCGAGGCGGAGCTGGAAGGCCTCCGCCGCGGCGCTGGCCGCGCAGCCCAGCGGTGCGCTGCCGGAGGGCTCTCGGCAGATGCCGACCACTGCGCGCCGCACCAGCGCGTCGATGGCACGCCTGTGGCCCTCTGGACCGCCCCCCTTCGGCGCCGGGTGCCCGTCGCCGGTGGCGGCGGCGAGCTCCCCGACCGTCTGCCCGTGGGCCTCGACGAGCGCCTGCAGGTCGGGGTCGCTGCCCCGGAGCTCGGAGGAGAGCTCGGGCAGCGCATGCTCGATCAGGGGGCCGTTCAGGTCTGGCGCCGAGAGGAAGCTGAGCCACACGAGCCTCGGCAGGACCAGGAAGACGTCCGCGTCGCGCTCTGCGCCCATGACCGCCAGCTCGGGCGCCGCGGCGCACGCCGCGCGGACGAAAGCGACGGCGCCATTTAGCGCGCACAAGAGCCGTGGGTCGGCAAGGTACCGCGCCGTGGCAGTCAGACTCTCCACAAAGTAGGCAAGTCGGTCGACGAGGCCGGGGTTGTTCGCGAGCTGGCCGTCCACGAACTCCCAGCAGTGCCAGAGGTTGCTCAGGTGATCCCGGACGGCCTCGAACGCGTCGATGGCCCGAGTGGCGAGGGCGTGAGCAGGGCCAAGTCTCTGGTGATGATTCTGCAGGCTGGTGGACTCCAGGATGGACCTGGCCTCCAGGAGGCCTCGCGTGACGAGTCGCCAGTCAGCAGCGCGCGTCCCGTTCTCAACGCCGGCCGCGTTGCTGAGCAAGATGAGCACCCTCACGAGCTCGCCGAGTTGCTCCTGACAATACGCGCCGCCCCCCTGCGGGTCGTCGCCGTCGCTGCAATAGCACACATCGGACAGGTCCCGCTCGCAGACGCATGCCACCGCCAGCAGCTCTAGCGCCTGCTCCTCGATGGCCATGGAATCTATCACGTACGCGTGCTCGAAATTCGCCCAGGCAGCGTCGAGTTTCTCCAAGGCGCCCCGCAGCTCCGCGTTCAAGCTGATGTCCCAAGGCCGTGCGGCGAGCTGCTCCTCGTGCAGGCGCTTCAACAGTCGCCCGAGCTCCGCCCACGCGTGGCGCATGTGGCCCGCGAGGATCATGGCCGTCGGGCTGAGCTCGAACCAGCGCCCGTTCATCCAGATCATCTGCTGGTTGCTCGCCTCAAGCACCTCAACTCTAAGCAAGCGGGACTGCCCATGCCATATCTTCTGGTACTTAGGGGCGAAGGACTGGCGGTAGTGGCGTGAAGCGGGCTTCACCTCGAACTCCTGGAAGGCGGCGTCCAAACACTGGAGATAGCTCGTCACAACCATGTAGCCCTTCTCGCTGTTCGTGTCCACCTTTCGCCCCGTTGTGACGAAGCGCCTTCGCCACAAGACCAACTTGCGCGTGATCTCCAACTGCACCGGCGTCCAACTGTTCGGCGCCACCATGCTGATCACGGTGTGGTGGTGTGGGGTGTGGTCGTGGGGCGCACCCGTGATGGTGGCAAGGGAGGTGAGCTGGGACCCCCTCCAAGCTCCAGGCTGTGCACCGCCAGCCTTGAGCCAAAACTGATGGCTACGGCAAAACAGAATTCTGACACCGCGTGAGCCGTCCGATCTTGAACGGCATCCCCGATCCTGGAGATCCCCAGAGGGCCTAGTGGCTGCCGGCCAAATATTCCACAAGGATTTGGCGCCGTGGGTTGTTCTCTGTGGGCCCTGCGTCGGCGGTTCAAGGATGGGGCTCTGATGAATGGGGCCCTGAGCATCGGAAGGGACCCCAGGTTGAATTTACACTGGTAGAGGACCCCTCGTCCTTGCAGCCCCATCCCACAGAGCCCCATCATTAAACCACCGAGTTCAGGGAAGGCCGCGCGCAGCTCAGTCGCTGCGCCTCGAGCGGCTCTCGCCTCGAGAGCCCAGAGCGCACTTCTCATTCCGCCCGCCACCCACCAAGCCGAAGACGGGCGCCCAGCCCTGCCCAGACCAAAACTGTCGGGCGTTGGCAGAACTGGGTTTCGTGGAACCTGGTGTAGAGATCTGTACCGGGGGGCCCCCTCGCCCCATCTCCACGAACCGGAACTGCCGTCACCCGAAAAACACCAGCTGCGGCAAACTGGTGTAGTAGTGAATCTGGCCAAATCAGGGGCCCCAGGGCCCTACCACTATCGGCTGCACGTAAGAGTGACCCTGGGTAAGAGTGACCTTTGGTGCGCGGCTTTTTGGGGGGCGCGAGGAGGCCAAACACAAGCGCGCAAGACGCTGATATCGCAACGAGCGCGGCGATCGGGGGACCCCATTTGGCCCGCACCAGAGGTCACTCTGGCGAAAGGTCACTCTTACGCCTAGTCGACACTGACCGGCTCCCCTTACACGGGGCCCTGGCCATACCCGACACCGACGGCGGGCCCCAGGGGCCCGCCCCCGCACGAGCCCCGGAGGGGGGGCCCGCCGGCACGAGCCCCTGGGGAGCGACGGACGGGCGACGGCCTGGCGAGGCCGCCGCCGAAGCGAGCACGGCTGGCGGACACCGCAGCGGAGAGCCGAGGAGGGCGGCGGCGGCGGCGCAGGTCCCCGGCCTCGCGCTCCTCCCGAGCCTTCTCGCGGTGCGCGCGGGCCTCCTCACCTCGGCGGCCGCTGCGCCCGCTCCCGCCGCCGGGCTCCCCTCGCCCAGGGCCCCGAGGGGGAGGAGGGAGCCAGACCTCCATGGGGCTGGAACGCATCGAGTCGGAGGCTTTCCTGCTCCTTCGGCCTCCAGGGAGAAGTCGTATTCTGGGCCCGTGGGAGCCATCAGAGAACGACTCAGGCTAAGACCCCTCCTGCTCTTCGATCCTCAAGTTTCGCGGCGTCTACGGCGTTTGGAAAAACTCTTCAAGCCTCCACGGGCCCCGTCCTGCCGTCTCCCCTGCTCCTCCTCCTCCTCCTCCTCCTCCTCCTCCTCATCCGCCTCCTCCTCCTCCTCCTCCTCATCCTCCTCCTCCCTCCACCCCTTCCAAATCCTCATTGTCCGCCTCCTCAGCTCCTCCTCCTCCTCCTCCTCCCTCCTCCTCCTCCTGCTCCTCCTCCTCCACTTCCTCGTCCTCCTTCTCCCTCCTCCTCCTCATCCTCCTCCTCCTTCTCGTTCTCCTCCTCCTCCTCATCCTCCTCTTCTTCGCCTCCTCCGCCCTCCTCCTTGCTCCTCTCCTCCTCCCCCTCCTCCTCCTCTCCTCATCCTCCCCTTCTATTCTCCTCCTCCTCCTTCCTCGTCCTCCTCATCCTCCGCATCATTCATCATCATCATCAGCATCATCATCATCATCATCATCATCATCATCCCATCATCATCATCACCATCACATCACCATCATACCACCATCACCATCACATCACCAACAATCACCATCACATCACACCACCACCACCACCACCACCACCATCATCATCATCATCATCATCATCATCATCATCATGATCATCATCATCAGCAGCAGCAGCATTATTATCAGCATCAGCATCAGCATCATCATCACCACCACCACCACCATCATCATCATCAGAATCATCATCATCATCATTACCATCATCATCATCATCATCATCATCATCATCATCATCGTCGTCGTCATCATCATCATCAGCAGCATCGTCATTATCAGAAGCAGCATCATCACCACCACCACCACCACCATCATCAGCATCATCATCAGCATCATCATCAGCATCATCATCTGCATCATCATCTGCATCAACAGTATCATCATCAGCATCATCATCATCATCAGCAGCAGCATCATCAGCATCATCATCAGCATCAGCAGCATGATCATCAGAATCATCATCATCACCACCACCACCATCATCATCAGAATCACCATCATCAGAATCATGATCATCATCAGCAGCAGCAGCAGCATCATCGTTATCAGCAGCAGCATCATCAGCATAAGCAGCAGCAGCAGCAGCAGCATCAGCATCATCATCATCAGCAGCAGCAGCATCATCATAATCGTCATAAGCATCATCGTCATCACCACCACCAAAACCATCATCATCATCAGCATCATCATCAGCATCATCATCAGCATCATCATCTGCATCGTCATCTGCATCAACAGAATCATCACTTGCATCATCGTCATCATCATCAGCAGCAGCATCATCAGCATCATCATCAGCATCAGCTTCATGATCACGAGAATCATCAGAATCATCGTCATCACCACCACCACCACCACCATCATCATCATCATCATCAACATCATCAGCATCATCATCAGCATCTTCATCAGCATCATCATCATCATCATCATCATCATCATCATCATCATCGGCATCATCATCAGTATCATCAGAATCATCATCACCACTACCATCATCATCAGCATCATCAGCATCGTCATAATCAGCAGCATCATCAGCATCATCATCTGCATCATCATCATCAGCATCATCATCATAAGCATCATCAGCATCATCATCCTCATCATCAGCGGCAGCATCATCCTCGTCATCATAATCATGAGCATCACCAGCATCAGCATCAGCATCAGCATCATCAGCATCAGCAGCAGCAGCATCATCAGCAGTATCATTCTCATCAACATCATCAGCAGCATCAGCATCATCATCATCAGCAGCATCATCATTATCAGCAGCAGCAGCATCGTCATCATCAGTGTCTTCATCCTCCTCATCATCAGCATCATCATCAGCATCATTAGAATCAGCAGCAGCATCAGCTTCAGCATCAGCATCAGCATCATCAGCATCAGCAGCAGCATCATCAGCAGAAGCAGCAGAAGCAATTATCATCATCAGCAGCAGCATCATCATCATCCGCCTCCTCATCATCATCATCATCATCACCACCATCAGCATCATTGTCATCAACATCATCAGCAGCATCAGCATCATCAACATCGGCATCAGCGTCATCAGCATCAGCAGCAGCATCATCGTCATCATCAGTGTCTCCATCCTCATCATCATCAGCAACCTCAGCGTCATCAGCATCATTAGCTTCATCATCAGCAGCATCAGCTTCAGCATCAGCATCAGCATCAGCATCAGCACCATCAGCATCATCAGCAGCATCAGCATCAGTAGCATAATCAACATCAGCATCATAATCATCAGCATCATCAGCATCATCATCAGCATCGGCATCATCATCATCATCATCATCATCATCATCATCATCATCAGTATCATCATGATCATCATCATCATCATCATCATCATCATCAGCATCATCATCATCCTCATCCTCACACACACCCTCATCCTCATCATCATCATCATCATCATCATCATCATCAGCATCATCAGCATCATCATCATCACCATCATCATCATCATCATCCTCATCATCATCATCACCATCACCATCATCATCATCATCATCATCATCATCGTCGTCATCATCATCATCATCATCATCATCATCATCATCATCATCATCATCGCCATCATCATCATCAACATCATCATCCTCCTCCTTCTCTCCTATTCCTCCTCCTCCTCTATCCTCCTCCTCCTCCTACTACCTCCACCTCCACATCCTGATCCTGTTCCTCCTCCTCCTCCTCCTCCACCTCCTCCTCCTCCTCCTCCGCATCATCATCATCATCATCATCATCATCATCATCATCATCATCACCATCATATCATCATCATCATCATCATCATCATCATCATCATCATCATCATCATCATCATCACCATCATCATCATCATCAGCATCATCATCAGCATCATCATCATCATGATCACCATCATCATCATCGTCATCATCAGCATCATCATCAGCATCACCATCAGCATCATCATCATCAGCATCAGCATAAGCATAATCGGCATCGGCATGAGCATGAGCATCATCACCAGCATCATCAAGATCATCAGCATCACCAGCATCACCAGCATCAGCATCACCACCACCATCATCATCATCATCATCATCATCATCATCAGCAGCATAAGCATCATCATCATCAACATAATCAGCATCATCATCAGCAGCATCATCATCACCATCATCATCAGCATCCTTATCCTCAGCATCATCATCATCATCGTCAGCATCATCGTCGTCAGCATCATCAGCAAAATCCGCAAACTAAGCAGGGTCCTCCTCCTCCTCGTCTTCCTTCTTCTCCTCCTCCTCCTCCTCATCATCATCATCGGCACCATCATCATCACCATTACCATCAAAATCACCATCATCAGCAGCATCATCATCAACAGCATCATCATCAGCAGCATCATCATCAGCAGCACCATCATCATCTGAAATCATCAGCATCCTTATCATCAGCATCAGCAGCATCGTCAGCATCATCATCGTCGTCCGCATCATCAGCAACATCATCAAAATTACCCTGGCGACGTACCCAACCCCTGCGCAAACGCGGGGCGCAAATAGTTTAGGACATGGTGTAAGGGGGGCGATGAAGGAGCGAGGGTTACATATGTCTGCAGACGGAATTCGGGAGACTCGCAGGACACTGGCTACAGGACAAGGACTAGATAAAGCTGATTAGTTACAATCCCTGAGCAACCCTAGCCACTTCGAAAGCGGGGATCTCATATCGCAGCCCCCGAGAGGTGGCGAGGTCTAACTTGAGTCTGCGGCGAGGTCCCAGAAACAATAACAGTTCGAGCATAAATCATGGCTCTGAAATGGGCCCCATGCTCACAGGTGGTGAGAACTCATATGTTTTACTAGATAGACATGTGTTCACATACATCTGTAGGCAGGTCTGCATATACATATATACACATTCACATGCATATACATACAAGCATGCATACATGTATACATGTATACATATGTATGTATGCATAGATAAATATATATATATAAGATATGATATGTTCTATATATGTTGTAAATATACGGATATACACCCGTATTTACTGAACTCCTATACGCTGGAAGACAGCCAGGTGAAACCATCCCGCCCACAACACGCGCTGGCTGGAAGATCGCACAACACTCTCGTCAACCCTTCCCCCCGCTCAGGCCAATCACGGAAAGTTATCCTCGAAAAACATACCGCACTGCTGTCACATCGCTGGTGGTGGGATCCCGAATAGGTCACGCTCCCTCTTCGCATTCCCGGCACACTGTTACAAGCACAGTTACCATGATCAGTACACTCATCATTGCTACCTACACGCGCTCCGCGCCGACTCCATGACATTTACCTGGGCCCCCTTTGCACGGGAACTTGTAACTACCTGGCGGCACGGGGCCTTTCTCAACCGTATCAGGCTGTCTTCACGAAACAATTCCCACTGCCCCTGGCACGCTGCGGCCACGTGGATAAACTCCGCAGCCCTCTGCATTGCCAAATGTCTCCGCCTTCAGCGCAGTCCTTTTTTTCCTCCCAAGTACATAGATCCATGATGCGGATCCCTCCGCTCCACTGACGTCCCAAACTCCCTGCATCGCACACGTACGTCCATCCTCCCTCCCACCGATCCCTCCCTGAACCCACCGTCCGCCTGGACCCATAAATCTTCAGGGAACCAGACTACCCGTCGCAAAGTCACGCTAGTCATCGTAAGACATCCTTCCACCCTCCTCCGTCGCAGCCCTGACGTGGCCAACGCGTCGGCTCGTGTATTCGATTCCCTCGAAACGTGTTCCGCCCACTGTCCTTCCATTATGGCACAGTGCTCGGTGCATCCGTTGTACTGCCTGCACCTGTCTCGGGTCCTTACACACAGCCACGCAACATTTTTGTCGCCGGCGGCGAGGCAGAATGGCTACACCAGCGAGCAGCCACACAAAACACACACACACAATTCACAAGCAACCTATAGTCAAATTGTATCCTACATTTGGCCTGGACAGTGGCTGGCAGAGGGAAACTCCAACTGGTCGGTTGCCAATCCGGGTCGCTGGATGTGTGTGTGTGTGTGTGTCCCCACGAGGTCCCTCTGCCACCCCCGCGTGTCATTGTCGGTCGTGGTCATCCAGTGGTTGTTTTATCACTACTCTGCCGTGTCAAGCTGTTGTCCCTTTACAAGTGCTGCCGCTTCCACATCGCCGCTCTTCTCCTGCCCGCTTCCTGAACACAGGGTTGGACTCCGAGGAATCTTGGTGACTCTCGGAGGCGGGAGGTCTGAGAGAACGCGTTTCACGGGCGCTTGCCTTGGGAACATTCGGAGGCACGTTTCGAACCAGGGGGTGGGCCCCCCCCCCAACACTCGGCACCGTCGATCAAAACAGGGGGGACTCCCCTCCCCCCCTAAACCCCCACCCCTCCCGAATCCCGGGGGGGGCCCACCGCGCCTAGCAGCGGCAGCATCCTGGACCCCCTGGGCGTGGGTTCTTCGGGGCCACTCACCCACCCTGCAAAATCATTGCCGGGACCCCCCCCACTGCGCCAGCACCGCCAGCATCCTCCTTGCCGGGGCCTCCCCGCCGCGCCCAGCACCGACAGCATCCTGGACCCCGTGGGCGTTGCTGCAAAATCCTTGCCAGGACCCCCCCACCAAGCCCAGCACCGCCAGCATCCCCCTGGGCGTGGGCTCTTCGGGGCCACCCACCTTGCAAAATCCTTGCCGGGACCCCCCCCATCGCGCCTAGCACCGCTGGCCTGGACCCCCTGGGCGTGGGTTCTTCGGGGCCACCCACCCACCCTGGACACCGGACAAGGGCCAGGGCCCACCGGCCACCAGTCAGGGCCAAAAGAACTGGAGGGAAACTGGAGGCTGGCCCCTGTCACCTGCCTCCAGATTTCCGCACGGCGGCCTTACGCAGCGAGAGCGTCGGCGTGTCACTGGCGGCGTGCAGCCGTGACAGCCCGCGCGGGGCCGCCGCCGAGCCAACGAGCCGCCGCCGAGGCCCGCGCTTTCCGACCGCATCGCCTCGGCCTCCACCCGCGCCGCCTGCAGGCTGGCCGACAGCTGCGCCGCGCTTCCCGACCGCATCGCCTCGGCCTCCGCCCACGCCGCCTGCAGGCTGGCCGACAGCTGCGCTCGCTCTCGGAGCAGCGCGCTGCGCTCGCGAGCCTGCGTGGGGGGGGCTGCAGCGCCAGGCCCAGCCAGGCGCAGCGCAGGCATGGACCTCCATCGAGTCTGACTCTTCTTCTGCGTGCTCGCCCTTTTTGAAGTCGTTTTCGAGCGCCGGGAACTTCAAAGAACTGTTGAGGATGAAAGCTGGTGTAAGGAAGGGACCGAGAGGTCTGGGCGCCCGAGACTCGAAAATATGGAGTCGTCGGAAATCTGGGTGCGGCGCTGGGCACGGCTGGGCGCAGCGCAGGGGGTGGAGCGCAAAGCCGAGTGGCGAGTGCAACCTCTTGCCTGTTCTACTCAGCGCAGCCCGCCGCCCGATGGACATCAACGGCGTGCCGACCGAGTGCAAAGTCGGACAGGATGCAAGGTCGAGGAGGGGGAAGGATAGGAGGACTCGCAGAGGACGAGGATACTCGAGAGGGAGGGGGCGACAGGGAGCACGGGGAGGAGCTGAGGACAGGGAAAGAGGACGAAAGGGATTGGGGAGACGAGAGGAAAAGAGGGGGAGAGGGGGGGGGGGGAGGATGATTGGGAGAAAGGAAGACCTCTTGCCTGTTCTACTCAGCGCAGCCCGCCGCCCGATGGACATCAACGGCGTGCCGACCGAGTGCAAAGTCGGACAGGATGCAAGGTCGAGGAGGGGGAAGGATAGGAGGACTCGCAGAGGACGAGGATACTCGAGAGGGAGGGGGCGACAGGGAGCACGGGGAGGAGCTGAGGACAGGGAAAGAGGACGAAAGGGATTGGGGAGACGAGAGGAAAAGAGGGGGAGAGGGGGGGGGGGGAGGATGATTGGGAGAAAGGAAGAGGCGGACAGAGGGAGAGGGAGATCGGGAATGTCCTACCGCAGTAGGTCGCTACTCGCAGCGCGGTAGCAAGAGGCCAATCCAAGACGCGCTAAACATGCCCCTCCTCCTCCTCCTCCTCCTCCTCCTCCTCCTCCTCCTCCTCCTCCTCCTCCTCCTCCTCCTCCTCCTCTGCATCCGCCTCCGCCTCCGCCTCCGCCTCCGCCTCCGCCTCCGCCTCCGCCTCCGCCTCCGCCCCCGCCT